AGCCTCACTTGTAAGGACTGGCAAAAGCACCTGATTGTGACTGGCCCGAGGGCTCCATGTATACTTGGTGTCAATTGCCTCAGAAGAAGGAATTTTAAGGATCCCAAGGGAAATCGATGGGTATTTGGAATAGCTGCTGCAAACAAAGACAACATCAAGAAGCTGTCTGTCTTGCTTGGCCTGTCAGAAAATCTGGCTGCTACAAGGGAAAGAGCAGCAGGTACTGATTGCTACAAAAACAGTGCACAGACAGGCAGTACCACACCAACAGCATTTACTGCAGGGACAGCTGCTGGGGGACAGGCTATGTCACACGCTGCAGTTTGTTGAAAAGCTTGACTGCCAGACCAGGCAGGAACATTGCAAAAATGCTCAGAATGTTCAGAGCGGAGCTAACCAAGGGGCCCACCTCCGTGCTCTCCTCCTGCAGCTGTGTGATCAGCTCCTGCATGGCTGCTGCCTCACACTTGAAGTCCTCCTTGAACGGCTGTGCACCACCAGGTGCCACATAGTCCCCACTCTGCAGGCGCAGCTCCACAGCCCTCCAAAGCTCCTGCAGCACCGCATGGCACCGCTGCTCAACCACAGAGCCCATGACAGCCCCGGCTGATGGATGCAGTGCTTCTCCTCCTTCAGCCCCTCTATCTACATCTGCAGCACCATTGCCTCATGCCTGAAGCACTCCTGCATCAGTGCCCCATCACAGAATCACAAAATCACAGAATTACAGAATTGCCATGGTTGGAAAAGACTTTCAAAGTCATCCAGTCAAACATCCACCCACCACCAACAGCACTCACTAAACCACGTCCCTCATCACAAAATCCAAACGTTCCTTGAACACCTCCAGGGATGGTGACTCCACCACCTCCCTGGGCAGCCCATTCCACTGCCTGACCACTCTTTCAGAAAAGTAGCATTTCCCAACATCCAGCCTAAATCTCCCCTGGTGCAACTTGAAGCCATTCCCTCTAGTTCTATCACCAGTTACATGAGAGAAGAGGCTGATCTCCAGCTCACTGCAACCTCCCTTCAGGTAGTTATAGAGAGCAATAGGGTCCCCCCTGAGCCTCCTCTTCTCCAGACTGAACAATGCCAGCTCCTTCAGCTGCTGCTCATCAGCCTTGTGCTCCAGGCCCCTCACCAGCTTTGTTGCCCTTCTTTGAACCTGCTTTGAACAATGTCTTTCTTGCAGTGAGGGGCCCCAAACTGGACACTGTACTCGAGGTGCTGCTTCACCAGAGCTGAGTACAAGGGGATGATCACTTCCCTGTTCCTGCTGGCAGCACCGTTCCTGATGCGAGCCAGGCTGCCATTGGCCTTCTTGGACACCCGGGCACAGTGCTGGCCCACGTTCAGCCGAGCATCAGTCAATACCCCCCAGGTCCATTTCCTCTGCTCAGTCCTCCAGCCATGCCGCCCCAAGCCTGTAGCATTGCCTCGGTTTGTTGTAGCCAAAGTGCAGGACCCGGCATTTGGCCTTGTTGAAACTCATCCCGTCGGCTTCAGCCCAGCTCTCCAGCCTGTCCAGATCCCTCTGTAGGGCCTCACTACCCCAGGTAGTACTCCAGGTAGATCCACACTTCCAGCCAACATGGTGTTATCCGCAAACTTTCTGAGGGTGCATTCAATGCCCTCATCCAGGTCACTAGCAAAGATATCGAAGAGGACAGGTCCCAGCACCGACCCCTAGGGAACATAGTGCTGGTGCCACCTCACAGTGCCATGATGCAGCCCACATGTCCCAGTAGCCCTGCACAGCAACTCCATGGTACAGCCACAGCACGTCAGCACAACCACACAACCACATGGCACAGGAACACCAGAATACCCTTTTACAACCACTTCTCACCTGCAGTACCGCACAGCACCTCCATGGTGCACTCAGCATATATTCATATTGATACAAGTTATAGTGATATTATTAGCTTGGTAATGTTCATCGATAAATAGCCTTGTAGCTTGTTTATAAAACAGGAAGAACCTGTGCCCTGGTACCAAGGAGCTAACAATGAAATACTGAACTCCTTATGCCTGGCAGATAAGGAAGTTCTGCTTGAGTGAGCTTATTTTGTGGAAGCAAATATTGCGCAGTCAAGGCAAGGAGATAACTGAATGTGTGTGAAGATCGGGTTAAACCAGCAACCACAGTGAGAGAGAGCACTGACTTCATCCACCACGAAAAGACTGAGCACGTGCAAGGAGCTCTATATTAATCATTTTGGGGGAAGCAGTGAATAGGTATGTACTGCCTGGGAAAATGTTTTCATATAAAGCACAAGTGATGTATCTAGGCTGAAGCTCTTTTATACCAGGTATGCATGATAGGAGGAGCCTAATCACTGTCGAGATGGTGTCACTGTGTCACGGGGTGGCGTCGTTGTATGCTGTGATAATGTCTTCGTGTCACTGTGCTGTGGGTGGTGTCACAGGGTCAGGATCGTGCTGACACTGTGCTTTGTGATGGTACTGTCTCACCTTAAACGCTACCATCCTGCCAAGTGTTGGGGTCACTGTGTCATGGGTGGTGCCGGCACTGTGATTCGGACGTGGCATGGTGTCGCCGATGCCGAGGATGTCGGTAGGTTGACCTGACGCGCCAGCGCGTTGTGTTGTGCAGGTATTCCTTTATTGTAGTGCGGGGCACATAGGGGATAACTCTACCTAATATGCAAACACCTTGGCCCATGTGCAGATTGCATTTGTTGGCTACGCTCATACATACTCATGTCTTTCCCCACGGTTTCATTCGTATGCTAAATATTTTCTTGTACTCGTTAATGTTTTCTTGGAATCGAACCTCAGACCCTCCCCCTCAGAGCATTCACAATCACACTTGAGGGTATTTTTGGTGGCTGTCTGGAGGGTCAAGGGAGGAAGGCTGATAGCCTTCATCACTCCTCAACTTTTGACCCCAGTCTTCAGGAGCTTGCTTAGTTAGGTGTGCACCTCCTCTCTAAATGTGTGTAATTATATTTATGCTTGTTAGCAAAGCAGAACAGGTATCACAAATCAGGAACTGGGTCTTAGTAACCTTTAGATGTTTCTTCTTTCTTAAACATGGCTTTTGTTAGTAGTGAGAAACCGGACGAAAGTACAGAGGAAACAAAGTACAGAAAAGCCTGGCATGAGACAGGTATGAGAACTTCAAGAAAGATTGCCCTCCTGTATCCATAGAAACATACAAAATGATCTTAAAAACCACAGAGGATAAACCTCATATGGAAAAATGGATTAACAGATGTGTCACATAGGCTGTGAGTCTGGGGTACTTGGCCAGTAGGGGAACAGGAGAGTAATTACCTGCCACGAGAAGAAAGGTGTGTAAGGAGAAGTGGTTCACTGATCAAGTGCGTGTTTTCTCCTTTGCCACAAGGGGAGCGTGCCCACTATTGCAACCATGAACAAAAAACCTTTGCTGCTTCACTGAGATCTATGATCGAAAATTATGCATTCTGAGCTTTTCTCTCACAAGGGAACATAAGGAGGGCATGGGGATGTAGAGGGGAACACGGGGATACGGGGCGTAGAGATCCTGTTCCTCCTACTGCACACTCCTGCATGAGGAACGTGAACACTGGCAGGGGGCTGCAGCAGAAGCACAGGTTTTGATTTCACTTATGATTCCGTGCAGTATGGATGAAAGCCAGGCAGGGGTTGGTTCCAGAGCTGAGGTTGGCTGCAGGGTAGAGTCTGAGGGCCCTGAGAGCTGCTCTGATGTCTAGCCCTGCTTAGGACTGCCCAGTCTGGGAAAGACTTTTGAATTGTATGGGCATCAAAGACGTCACTTTGCAGTGGGAGAATTAGCAGAACACACTGGATCTGGGAAGAGACCAGCAGGCTAATTCTTTAGACAACTGGACCAAGTAAATATAGGGCGGATGTCACGTTTATGAGCAGTGGCAGCAGACCTGAGGCACTGCCCAAATGCAGGAGGAAAGCCTGGGCCCCGGCCCACCCACAGCCGGCAGCAGCCGTGGGGCTGCCCGCGTGTCCCAAACTCAGCAGCATCCCCACGATGACAGAAACACCCCCAGAATGGGCTGCAGCTGCCAGCCTGGCCTCCGCCACGTTGTGCGTTGGAAACGTTGCGCCTGCTGGAGTCGGGGCCAGAACCCAGCTCAGCCTGAACCGGGCTGGGGGGAGGAAGGAGCGGGTTGGGTGCTGGGGAGAAGAGATGCCCGTGGTTGCAGCCCCTAAAGCTGCCCACCTCGGGAAAGGCAGAGAAGAACCAAACTGACAGTGGCATGATGGAACTGTCGCTTTTATTGATAGACTACAATGACTTTATACAGCAATTGGAGCTGGCACACGGCCGCTCCTATGACATCAGTGGGGCCGGCGGTTGATGTTCTGGGCCCGACGTGGAACGCAGGAGCGGCTTTGGCCCCAGGCTGGCCGTCGCCGCCTGGACCGGCTCCTGCGGCGTCTTTGGGGCTGGCTGTTGTTATCTGCAGCCCGATGTTCCAGAGGCGAGCGGCTCCGAGTCCTGGCCCGCCGTGTCTGCCCGGAGAGCAGCTCAGGCACCTGGGAGCTGTGGTCTGGTCCCGATGGTGCCTGGTTGGTGGTGTTGGAGCTGCTGCTCTCCTGTCCTGTAGGGCCTTGGGATGGCCCCAGGCCCTGCTGGCTGGTGGTGTTGGGGCCAGCGCTGTCCGCATTGGTGCTGGAGGCTGTAAGGGGAGGCAGGAAGGTGAGCGGGACAGATGTCCAGCCCCGGGGTGGGACAGGCTCTCATCCCTCCTGGGCCAAAAGGACTTGAGCAAGGCCTCGCCTGGCCCCAGCCCAGCAGCACGCGGCCGTTTGCCTCTTACCGCTGTTCTCTCCAGCACAGCCATTGCACTCCCATGCAGATGCGCTCGGACTCAAGTTGGAGCAGAGTCGATGAGTGCCTTGTGCAGCGCAGGAGCTGCAGAGGAGCAGCTGCCAGGGCCTGTGGAAAACAGCGGGTTGAGGCTGTGAGGACAAAGTGAGCTGAGCCAGGGAGCGCCGGCACGGCTCTGGTGCCCAGTGTGTGCTCTCCCAGCCCGTGGTGAGGCTGCGATCCCACGCGGAGGCCCAGAGGGCTGCTGAGGGAACTCACCCCTCTCGCTCTTCTCGCTCCCTGCCATGCGGATAATGGCAGTCGCTGGCATCACAGCGCTGATGCCTAACTCCCAGGGTTGCATAGTCATAATTGTCCTCCCATGTTGGTTTTCTGCAAGAGAAGAGACAGAATGTGATGCCCCAGGACTAAAACTAATCCGTGGCATCCCTACCCTTCCACCCGATGCCCAGTTCCATGTGAATGGCTGCGAGGGCCAGGCCTGCTGAGCACAGCTTGTGTGCCCTCACATCTCAAGAGCTGCCTGAAAGACACCAACCTGAATGGGATTCGGATCCCCATAGTGAGCATGTCTCGAAGAAACATGTCTCTGTCTCGGCAGTGGGGGCAATGAAAGCCATAAATTCCTGCGCACATGGCCTGTTCCTGCAGCAGAAACAGAACAGGGTGAGCGTGAGCCTGGCCTGGTGCTGCTGAGCACCTGCCGTGCTCATGGGGTGAGGAGAGGGCTCCCACCTGGATGCAAGCCCGGTGGAACCAGGCGTGTCGGCAGGCTGGGCACACCATGGTGCAGTATGATCTGCTGTGCTCCATGGGCTCCAAGCAGATGATGCAGGTTGTGTCCTGCACCGGCGCTGCCTCCACTGCCTGATGTGGACGATGCACCCAGCAGAAGGACCTGGAGGAAGATGGGAGGGACGGGCAAGGTGAGAAGTGCTGCCAGGAGGGCAGAGGAACGGGAAGGAGCCCCAGGCCTTGGCTCTGGCTCTGCCAGGCTGCTGGGAGGCGTCACGGCGCGCTCCTCGCTTCTTTGGCTGGTGTTGAAGCAGGGCTTGGAGGCTCACAGGCAATGCCTGGCAGCCCTTACCTGAAATCGTCGCAGAACTGGGTGACGCATTCACCCTCTGAGGTGCAGGAGAGGTGGAAGCTGCGGTCGCAGCCCGGCTCTGCGCAGGTGATGGTGGCCCCCACATTGCCACAGACGAAGCAGAGCTGTAAAGAGCAGAGCATTTCCCATCAGCTGCAGGCTCAGGGCCTACGCAGCGGGCCCCGCACCTCTGTGCAGGGCACGGGATGGGGGCAGGGCTGGCTGGCACTCTGCAGAGCTGCCTGCTGAACAGGGCTGGTCTGCAAGAGCAGGGATTTCTCTTGGGGCTGGCTGGAAGGGCTGGGATTGCTTTCTTTGCACCATGCTAAGCTCGCCATGCCTCCGCTGGCACCAAGCTCCCTATTCCGGTCCAGTGCTCACCGTCTGCTCTCCCCGCCTGATTGTGCGTATCAGCTCTTCTTCGAACTGACATGCATTTCTGTTGTTGTTTCCTGGTTTACAAAGACCAGTGGAGAATATCTGTAGAAGAAGAAAGAGCAGGCTCTTGTTAGGGCAGGAAGGAGGGAATCTGGTTGGAGGAAGGAGGCAGGAGCCATGAGGGAACTCACCACACAAAAAGTATGGAAGTAGAACCCGTTTTTCTCATGCTTGTGCCCATATATGCTCGAGTCCTGATCCACTCGGCCACAGAGCACGCATGCTGGAGAGGAGAGAGGAACAGCAGTGAGCGGCCTGCGCAGCCAGGGGCCCTGGGGGCTGTCCCAGGGGCTGCTGTGTGCCGGCCGTGCCAGCTGAGGGGCAGGGCTGGTGGCCATGGAGAGGAAAGGGCAATGCAGGCCCAGTGCGGCCAGCAGGCGGCCACAGCCCAACCGCGGCTCCCCTGGCCAAGGAGCAGAGGGGCCCTGCGTGCCCCCACCTCTTCTCTCTGCTGCTGGCAGACCCCCAGCACCCCTCTGCTTTGCGTGCAGGGATTCTTTGCTCTCACCTGGCTCACTCGAGCCGGTGGCATCCTGAGTCCCCTTGGACATTGTGTGCATTGGCGGCAAGCACTCGCAGAGTGTCTGTCCCAGCAAAACCAGGCTTTCTCCTCCGCGTGACAACCTAGGGGAGAAGCGGGACGAGGCTGAGTTCTCAGCTCCGGCCCCGAGCGCTGGGGAACCCTCCTCCCTGGGCAGCCTCAGGCAGCCCCTTCCTCCCTGCTCACCTCACCAAGTCGCACTGAGCTCCGCCTGGGCCCCGCAGCCTTGGCTCTGTTCTGCACCCCGCAGGTCACAGTGGTCGCTCTGTGCCACACCTGCGGAACCATCACACCTCACAGGGGCTGAGGGCACCCAGGCAGCAGGGCGGAGGCTCTTGCAGCCAGCGCAGGGCGAGGGGCCCGGTGCCGGACGCAGCCCCGCTGGAACCCGGCGTGTTGGTGCTGCTGAAGGCACTGGGCGACACCTGAGTGCCCCTCACTCCTGGCCCCACCTGAGTGCTGCCGGGCCTGTGGCTCCAGCAGTGTCCCAACCAAGCGCTCAGCTGTTCCCGTGACTTTTTGTTGCTTGCTGCTCATTACCTCTCGCTACAATAAATGACTCGATTCACAGAATCACAGCGTCCCTGTGGTTGGCAAAGACCTCTAAGATCCCCAGGTCCCACCGTCCACCCCCCACCTGCCCACGGCCCTCAGTGCCACATCCCCACGGTCCTTGGACGCCTCCATGGGCGCTGACTCCCCCAGCTCCCCGGACAGCACATTTTCTTTTAAAGCTGACAGATTTTGCAGACTAGAAAATATGCTTCTCTCATCTGCAATGTCAGAAACTGAGATGAAGTTAATTTCCAAATAAACTTATTATGGCTCAAAGCTGCAGGTAAATGAGTTTTTGAAGATTTTGGAGTTTATGAGGCTATTCTGTCATGTAACAGGTCCTTGCTGCCCTTTCGGAGTCAGTCTTAACCTGAATTTGTGTCACAGAACAGAAAACTGAAAAACTGCTGGGACACCTTATTTTTCTCAAAAGCTCATGTTAAATTTGGATGAGCTTCTTTGGGTCAGAGTTGCTCCTGGGAAGGGGCTGCAGAGAGGTGTCCACATCTATGAGTGTGGTGGGTTTTCAGCCCTGTGACATGGGCTTGCTACACTCTGAGATGACAGAAACCACGAAACCTTTGCTTGTCTCATCTGAGGGGAGACATGAGGCCTTTGAAATACTTTCTTCTGCATCTTCTGCTTCTTGCACTATAAAAATAATGATAATAATAAAAAGATATTAGAAAAGAAACACCATGGAACGATCACATTAAGGCCTCCCCTGGAAAAGATACTTTGTAGTGTGTCAGAGACAGTTTGCTGGCAAATCTGAATACTACTTCCCTGGAATAAGTGATGGAGTGAGCGGTTAGGAGCCAGTCACTGCTGCACATGAGAGCTATCGTGACCTCAGACCTGACCAGAACCTTTGGCACCAAGCTGGTCGTGGTGTATCTAACTGGGATGAAGGCAAGAGTGCTGCCTTCTAGCATGTGGGGAATGATGGACGGGATTTGAAGCACTGCATGGGGCTGGGAATAGAGATTCTGTTTAATACGGTATTAGGTAGGTATTACCTCCTCTCTTAGCCCTAGCCAGGTAACAATCTGGCTTCTTGGGAACAATGCAATAAACCAGAGTGAGAACCACAGCAAAGCCTGTGCGCTCCCAGATTCTCAATTCAGGGCCTTGTTAGAACTTCAGATGAAATCATCTGCCATCCAGATATCAGAGAAATAAGGCACCGTGTCCTGGTTGGGAAGGCAGGCTGTCTTGATGCTTAATTGCAGTCAAATACCTGCCAGTCTGAGGGCTGCACCACAGGCAGCATTTCTTCTCACTCACCGAGGCCTAATGAAGGAATACATGCAACTCATAAGAACTGGATCTAAGCCGTATCTCTGGAGGTAGAAAGGCTGCACCAGAGCAGCTCCCAGCGTACAGCCAAAAAAGCTGAATTTAACAACATCACAGGAGCTTCTGACTCAGAGCCCGTCCTGCCCAGCTGTGCACACGTGTCCCAGCCACCACTTTGCCACCAGCAGCCAGCAAGCAGCATCATGTGAAGAAATCCTTTTTCCTTCAGGGCTGAATTAAGCCACACTTTGTGCCCCTGCTGCTGGCCAGGGCAGGAAGGCTGCAGATCAGGTCAGCTTGGGGTTCTGCTTCGAACTACTCCATGCTGGCCCATGACCTCTGAGCAATCCATCCCAGGTTTTCCCTCATAACAAAGTGTTAAAGACCCCACTGCCAAAACATTCTCCTTGCAACGACCTTCTCAGGCCTCCTGCTCCCACTGTCCCTGCAGACTGGTTGCTGGGGTTTTGCACTATATGGTCATACAAACCATGCCCAAAGTTGGCCAAAGTGCCCTGGGCACTTCCAGGCCAGCGTCCACCTGTTGCAAATGAAGTCTGACACCATCTGTGGGAGGGCCACCAGCAAGCAAGCTGGGCTCTGCTTGCCAAGTCAGGCTGTGGTGAGCTGGTAGCTCCCTCCTCTGTCCACAGCACCTAAAGCAGTTTAGGATCTGAACAGGTGTCACTTGGAAGAGAGGACATTACACGTTTTCTCTCACTTTTCCACGTGAGAGCATCTTCAGCACAGTTTCCCAGGAGTAAGGCCAGCACACGCCAGCCCCTCTGCTCTGCCCCTCCGAAGATGTGTCTCTCTCAATATACCTCTTGATGGAACTCTTCCAAGTATTTCTAAATGCAGAAAATGGGAAGAGATCAGATGACCTTACTCTGAATCACACCAAATGTTAATTTTGAATACCTTACTGGACAGCTGAAATCTTCTCTTTATAGTCCATACTTGGGCGTTTTGCAAAGCATTACAAATTTCTCTATAGGAGCATCGTTGCAGGATCCCACAAAACGCCTCAACCTGCTTTTTGTATGCCCTGCTCCAATTAAAGAGCCAAAGTTCTGGATAAGTGCTGTCTTTGTGAATAAACTGAATTCCACCGGCCTTATCTGCTGCCTATAGATTTTTCTCATAGGGTTTTTCATTTGATTAATTCTCTTCACATGTACCACAAGGTACAACTTGCTTGCTTCAACTGCATTTTCCTGCCCTAGCTGCTCCCATGCACCCAAAGGCAGCAGAACATCACGTGCAAGCTTAAAGCAAAGGCTCTATGTAGGTGTGAAAGGAGCTGAATAATTGCAAATTGAAATTCAAAGCAGCTTCCCACTGAGGTGTGAGTGAAAAGGATCGTGCAGAAAAACAAATCACTTGCAACAAAATGATAGTGACATTTATGGAAGGGTTTTCACAACTGCTCTGTAAATCCCCCGCCAAGTGCTGCAGCTCTCCCCTGGCTGGAGGACAGCAGTGCTGACCCACGCCACTGCAAGCTGCCAGCTGCAGAGAGGGCTGCAGTCAGCTCACAGGAGGATGGCTGCCTCCTTCACAATGTCGGACAGGCAGCTTGCTTTCTGCTTTCCTCGTATGTGGGACAGGTGCAGAAATGAAGTTAGCTGCAGTTGGCCTAAATGCTGTGTTTCCTGGGAGAGAGGAAGAAGGATGTCCTACATGGGAGAAATACGCTGCTTCTTTCACAGTTGTTTGTTTTCTTTTTATTGGCTCCATTGGGAGAGTTCCCATTTGCTTAAGTAGGCTGTGTGTGAAGAACGTGGGGAGGCACATTTGGAGTGGTTTGCCCTGCTAATCTACAGAGGAGCATTCATGATTTTCACAAGAGCTGGACATCCAGACCAGCTTTAGAAAGTTGTTTTGCCTGGGTTTTGTTTTTTAGAAGTAGAAAAACACACAGATTACAACCATACAAATGCATTTCTCCTGGGGGACACAGATCCTTCGCGCTGCTAAGCCTACAGCAGTTCTGAAGTAATAATCTGATGGTACAAAGGTGTTACTTTGGCAAGAACATCACTGGGACAGGTGTCTCAAAGTCCCAACCTCTAAAAGCAAAATATAACACAATAAGCAAACAGAAAATGCAGTGTATATTACAGAAAGACTTTTATTAAACATCATCATGTTGGAAATAAGCACTCCATTTCCCAGCACAAAAACTATTTCCACTCTCCAACCAAGTGAGTATGACTTCAGTGAAAGCAGTGAAAGGAGGCCCTGCACTGTGTCCGTGGAAGGGCAACGGGGCAGGAAAGGGTCTGGAACAAAAGTCCCAAGAGGAGCGGCAGAACGAACTGGGGTTGTGCAGTCTGGAGGAGGCTGAGGGGAGGCCTCACCACGCCGTATAACTCCCTGAAAGGAGGCTGTAGGGGGTGGGGGCCGGCCTCTTCTCCCAGGAAACAGCAATGGGACGAGAGGGAACGGCCTCCAGGTGCACCAGGGGATCCCCGCTGGATCCTAGAAGAACGTCTTTGCTGAAAGAGCAGTCGGGCACTGGCACAGCTGCATGGGGAGCTGGGGGAGTCAGCGCCCATGGAGGCGTCCCACAACCGTGCGGATGTGGCACTGAGGGACGTGGGCAGGTGGGGGGTGGACGGTGGGACTCCTGGGGCTGTTCCTCTGCCCTCCTGGCAGCACTTCTCACCTTGCCCATCCCTCACATCTTCCCCCAGGTCCTTCTGCTGGGAGCAGCTCCCACAGCAGCCAGTGGAGGCAGCACCAACACAAGACACAACCTGCATCATTTGCATGGAGCCCGTGGGGGACAGCATGTTGTACTCCACTATGGTGTGCCCAGCCTGCCGACATATCTGTTTCCACCGGGCCTGCATCCAGGTAGGAGCCCCCCTGTTGCCCACAGGCACCACAGGTGCTCAGCAGCATCAGGCTCTGCTTACACTTGCACTGCTTCTGTTTCTGCTGCAGGGAATGGCCAAGAGTGTTGGGCTTTGCTGCTTCCAGTGCCCTCTCTGTAGAGACAGAGACAAGTTTATTCAAAAAATGGTCAATATGGGGATCCACATCCCAGTCAGGTTAGTGTCCTTCAGCCAGCTCTCCTCTCAGTCTCTTCTCGAGACATGAGGCACAAGAGCTGTGCCTGCCAAAGACTGCCCTAGCAGGCTAGGCCCTTTTGCTGCTCATGAGCAGTGGCCTCAGCTTCACAGGTATGGTGGAACTCCAGTCAGGCTGGAAGAGCAGGGATGGCTATGGTCATTCTTAGTCTACAGGCACTGGGAGCTCATCACATTCCCTCCTTTCTCTGGCAGAAAACCAAAGTGGGAGAACAACCGTGCCTACGCATCCCTGGGAGTTAGGCACCGGCGCTGCGATGCCAGTGACTGCCATTATCCACATGGCAGGGAACGAGAGGTGAGTTCCCTCAGCAGCCCTTTGGAGCTCTGCGTGGGATCGCAGCCTCACCACGGGCTGGGAGAGCACACACTGGGCACCAGAGCTGTGCCGGGCGCTCCCTGGCTCAGCTCATTTTGTCCTCACGGCCTCAACCCGCTGTTTTCCACAGACCCTGGCAGCTGCTCCTCTGCAGCTCCTGCGCTGCACAAGAAACACATTGACTCTGCTCCAACTTGAGTTGGAGCACATCTGCACATCTGCATGGGAGTGCAATGACTGTGCTGGAGAGCTGCAACCACAGCTTTCAGTTTTCTGTTCTGTGACACAAATTCAGGTTAAGACTGACTCCAAAAGGGCAGCAAGGACCTGTTACATGACAGAATAGCCTCATAAACTCCAAAATCTTCAAAAACTCATTTACCTGCAGCTTTGAGCCATAATAAGTTTATTTGGAAATTAACTTCATCTCAGTTTCTAACATTGCAGATGAGAGAAGCATATTTTCTAGTCTGCAAAATCTGTCAGCTTTAAAAGAAAATGTGCTGTCCAGGGAGCTGGGGGAGTCAGCGCCCATGGAGGCGTCCCACAACCGTGGGGATGTGGCACTGAGGGCCGTGGGCAGGTGGGGGGGGGACGGTGGGACCTGGGGATCTTAGAGGTCTTTGCCAACCACAGGGACGCTGTGATTCTGTGAATCGAGTCATTTATTGTAGCGAGAGGTAATGAGCAGCAAGCAACAAAAAGTCACGGGAACAGCTGAGCGCTTGGTTGGGACACTGCTGGCACCGGGCCCCTCACCCTGCGCTGGCTGCAAGAGCCTCCGCCCTGCTGCCTGGGTGCCCTCGGCCCCTGTGAGGTGTGATGGTTCCGCAGGTGTGGCACAGAGCAACCACTGTGACCTGCGGGGTGCAGAACAGAGCCAAGGCTGCGGGGCCCAGGCGGAGCTCAGTGCGACTTGGTGAGGTGAGCAGGGAGGAAGGGGCTGCCTGAGGCTGCCCAGGGAGGAGGGTTCCCCAGCGCTCGGGGCCGGAGCTGAGAACTCAGCCTCGTCCCGCTTCTCCCCTAGGTTGTCACGCGGAGGAGAAAGCCTGGTTTTGCTGGGACAGACACTCTGCGAGTGCTCGCCGCCAATGCACACAATGTCCAAGGGGACTCAGGATGCCACCGGCTCGAGGGAGCCAGGTGAGAGCAAAGTATCCCTGCAAGCAAGGCAGAGGGGTGCTGGGGGTCTGCCAGCGGTAGAGAGGGGAGGTGGGGGCACGCAGGGCCCCTCTGCTCCTTGGCCAGGGGAGCCGCGGTTGGGCTGTGGCCGCCTGCTGGCCGCACTGGGCCTGCAGTGCCCCTTCCCCTCCATGGCCACCAGCCCTGCCCCTCAGCTGGCACAGCTGGCACACAGCAGCCCCTGGGACAGCCCCCAGGGCACCTGGCTGCGCAGGCCGCTCACTGCTGTTCCTCTCTCCTCTCCAGCATGCGTGCTCTGTGGCCGAGTGGATCAGGACTCGAGCATATATGGGCACAAGCATGAGAAAAACGGGTTCTACTTCCATACTTTTTGTGTGGTGAGTTTCCTCATGGCTTCTGCCTCCTTCCTCCAACCAGTGATTCCCTCCTTCCTGCCCTAACAAGAGCCTGCTCTTTCTTCTTCTACAGATATTCTCCACTGGTCTTTGTAAACCAGGAAACAACAACAGAAATGCATGTCAGTTCGAAGAAGAGCTGATACGCACAATCAGGCGGGGAGAGCAGACGGTGAGCACTGGACCGGAACAGGGAGCTTGGTGCCAGGAGTGGCATGGCGAGCTTAGCATGGTGCAAAGAAAGCAATCCCAGCCCTTCCAAGCAGCCCCAAGAGAAATCCCTGCTCTTGCAGACCAGCCCTGTTCAGCAGGCAGCTCTGCAGAGTGCCAGCCAGCCCTGCCCCCATCCCGTGCCCTGCACAGAGGTGCAGGGCCCGCTGCGTAGGCCCTGAGCCTGCAGCTGATGGGAAATGCTCTGCTCTTTACAGCTCTGCTTCGTTTGTGGCCAGCGCGGGGCCACCATCACCTGCGCAGAGCCGGACTGCGACCGCAGCTTCCACCTCTCCTGCACCTCAGAGGGTGAATGCGTCACCCAGTTCTGCGATGATTTCAGGTAAGGGCTGCCAGGCATCGCCTGCGGGCCTCCAAGCCCTGCTTCAGCACCAGCCAAAGAAGCGAGGAGCGCGCCGTGATGCCTCCCAGCAGCCTGGCAGAGCCAGAGCCAAGGCCTGGGGCTCCTTCCCGTTCCTCTGCCCTCCTCGCAGCACTTCTCACCTTGCCCGTCCCTCCCATCTTCCTCCAGGTCCTTCTGCTGGGTGCATCGTCCACATCAGGCAGTGGAGGCAGCGCCGGTGCAGGACACAACCTGCATCATCTGCTTGGAGCCCATGGAGCACAGCAGATCATACTGCACCATGGTGTGCCCAGCCTGCCGACACGCCTGGTTCCACCGGGCTTGCATCCAGGTGGGAGCCCTCTCCTCACCCCATGAGCACGGCAGGTGCTCAGCAGCACCAGGCCAGGCTCACGCTCACCCTGTTCTGTTTCTGCTGCAGGAACAGGCCATGTGCGCAGGAATTTATGGCTTTCATTGCCCCCACTGCCGAGACAGAGACATGTTTCTTCGAGACATGCTCACTATGGGGATCCGAATCCCATTCAGGTTGGTGTCTTTCAGGCAGCTCTTGAGATGTGAGGGCACACAAGCTGTGCTCAGCAGGCCTGGCCCTCACAGCCATTCACATGGAACTGGGCATCGGGTGGAAGGGGAGGGATGCCACGGATTAGTTTTAGTCCTGGGGCATCACATTCTGTCTCTTCTCTTGCAGAAAACCAACATGGGAGGACAATTATGACTATGCAACCCTGGGAGTTAGGCATCAGCGCTGTGATGCCAGCGAGTGCCATTATCCACATGGCAGGGAGCGAGAAGAGGGAGAGGGGTGAGTTCCCTCAGCAGCCCTCTGGGCCTCCGCGTGGGATCGCAGCCTCACCACGGGCTGGGAGAGCACACACTGGGCACCAGAGCCGTGCCGGCGCTCCCTGGCTCAGCTCACTTTGTCCTCACGGCCACAACCCGCTGTTTTCCACAGGCCCTGGCAGCTGCTCCTCTGCAGCTCCTGCGCTGCACAAGGCACTCATCGACTCTGCTCCAACTTGAGTCCGAGCACATCTGCATGGGAGTGCAATGGCTGTGCTGGAGAGAACAGCGGTAAGAGGCAAACGGCCGCGTGCTGCTGGGCTGGGGCCAGGCGAGGCCTTGCTCAAGTCTCTTTGGCCCAGGAGGGATGAGAGCCTGTCCCACCCCGGGGCTGGACATCTGTCCCGCTCACCTTCCTGCCTCCCCTTACAGCCTCCAGCACCAATGCGGACAGCGCTGGCCCCAACACCACCAGCCAGCAGGGCCTGGGGCCATCCCAAGGCCCTACAGGACAGGAGAGCAGCAGCTCCGACACCACCAACCAGGCACCATCGGGAACAGATCACAGCTCCCAGGTGCCTGAGCTGCTCTCCGGGCAGACACGGCAGGCCAGGACTCGGAGCCGCTCGCCTCTGGAACATCGGGCTGCAGAGACCAACAGCCAGCCCCAGAGACGCCGCAGGAGCCGGTCCAGGCGGCCAGGGCCAGCCCAGGGGCGAAGCCGCTCCCGGGTTCCACGTGGGGCCCAAAACATCAACCGCCGGCTCCAGTGATGCCATAGGAGCAGCCGTGTGCAACCCCAAGTGCTGTCAGCAATCCTCAGAGTCCATCACAATAAAACTGAGAGATCTCACACACCAGGGAGCTGGGTTGACCACTGGACCTGACACCTTATTGGTCTTTTCCAACTTTAATGATTCTGCGCATCTAAAAACACTTGTGACATTGCCTGAGTGCAATAAGGAAAACTGACGGCAAAAAGCACTTTGTGATACATACTTCAAAATGTTTCAGCTGTCCCTGTATATGAGTTAATAAACTTTTTTGCTGTTGCTACTATATATGCTCATAAATATATTATTGGTAAATATATATTGGTAAAAATAAATGGGAGTGTCAAAAGAGGTCGGCAGTGCAAAGGCCAGAGGTGCTCCAGGCACTGCCGCACAGACGGCTGAAAGCCTGGCAGGAAGCACCGACCACATACTGTGCTCCTGGGGAGGGCTGTAGCAGACAGCAGGCCACTGCCCACGGGAAGGGCAGAGCTGGTAGAGAAAGAAGGCAAAGGCGGTTCCAGAAACACCGAGTAGCACAGGCAGCGCACGCCGCTCGGTGTCGGCCGGGCGAGTTCCGCCGAGCGCCGTCCCCTGCCATTACGGAAGGCGCAGCCCCTTCAGCGCGCATGCGCGCACACCCACCCCGCGCGGCGTAAATAGCACCCGGACTTTTATAGCGGCCGTTCCCGGCAGCCCCCGCGGCCGGGCGCTGCCATTGGTTATCGCGAGGCGGGGACGCGCTCGGGCGCGCGCGCCGGGCGGGGCGGGGCCGGCTGAGGAGCGCAGCGCCGCGCCGCGTCGCGCCGGGCCCGGTGAGCGCGCACGCCCCCGCCCCGCCCGTTTCCGTTCGCCGCCGCTCGAGCTCGGGCCTGTGGAGCAGGAAGCGGCGGGAGTCGGAGCCAGCGGAGGCCGCAGGTACCGGGACGGGGTTCTCGGCCGCTTAGGGGCGGCCGCCCGGCTCCCCCCGCCTCGGCGGCGGCGACTCTCGGGTGGGGCCCGCCAGACCGACGGGAGCCCGCGCGACCGCCGGCGGGCGGGGGCGGCCGAGCTTCTTTGAGCCGGGCCTGGCTCCTCGCCGCCGCGGCAGGCCTCTCCGCCCGCACAAAGCGGAGGCGGCGGAGCGCGGCTCGGTCGCTCGGCAGAGCGCCCCGAAGTTTCCGGGGTCGGTAACGGGGCCTTTCCGGGCGGCGGGGGAGGGGAGAGGAGGGCGGGGCGGCCCGGCGGGGCGTCGTGCGGGGGTAGCCGTGCGACGGGGCGCCCCGCGGCGGCCTGCTGGGCCCACCGGTTGTGAGGAGCCAGGCCGGGAGAGGCGCGGGGTCGGGCGGCTCCGCCACGGGGCGCGAGCGGGCGGCGGGGCGGCACCGTGACTGGCAGCCCGCCGTGGTGACGTCACCGCGCGGCGCCGCGAGAGCGCGGGGGGGCGGGGCCGGGCGGGGCGCGCGGGCGGCGAGCGCGGGAGGAGCCGGGGGCGGCCGGGCCGGGCCCGCGGCCGGGCGATGGGCTCCGATGTGGGACGGGCGCGGGGGGACCGGCGATGATCGTGCAGCCGCACCCCTGCCGTGGGCTGGCCGCCCACCGGCTCGGGCTGCCCGCGGCCCCTCCTTGGCCCGGGGCACCTCCAGGGATGGCACCCGCAGCTCTGGGCGGCACCGCCTCGCCGCCCTCTGAGCAAAGAGTTTACCCCTAACGTCTCGCCTAGATCTCCCGTCTTGTAGTTTTAAGCCACGGTTCTGTCGTCATCTTCTTACCGTCAAAACACCAAAAATTAGCTTGGTTCCTTCTAACCATTATCTATGACTCCAGTTATTATGGGCTGCAATGCCAAGGCCTTTAGTCCTGAATTTCGTTTAGTGGGGGAATATGAACTCTACTGCTCCCTGAGAATCTCGTCCATGGAAGCGCTTTGTGGAAGGCTCTCCCAGTCTGTCTCTGAGCCCTCCTCTCACTCTGCTCATTCCCACCTGGGCCTGCAGCCACGCAGCTCTGTGCTTCTGTTCCAGATGTGCTGAATGCTCCCAGCTCTGGTTTGGACCAAAGCCTTATCTTTAAGGGGGGGAGAGGGGGGAAGAAAAAAAAAAACCAAAAAAACCTGCCATTAGCCTGATTTCATTTTAATTAGCTCTCTAGAATGCTTAAAAGCATAAACGCTTGACATGAATTATTTTTTAATGGGCAATTTGTCTCGTTTAACACTACTGGTATGAAATGCTTAGGGCTGAGGAGCTGAGTGCAGGGCTGTCCCCCGGAGCTCCCTGCCCTGGCCCTGTGCCACAGCAACTGCCGGAGGCGGGGAGTTCCCTGAGCCAGGAACTGACGGTAAAAACATCCTCTGTGGTCTCAGCTGCCACCAGGATGTAGGGCTGGAGATGGCCCTTCAGATAAGTGAATTCCAAATGGAAACAGTTTGATGGTTTGGAAGGGTTTAGAAATGCCTTTCCTCAGTTTTTTTTACAGTGACTTGTTTTTTTTCACCATTTTCTTATTTCTGTGTCCCTCTGGCTCTGCTTTACCCTGTTTCTATGTGCTCTTCTGCCCCGATTGCTGCATTACCACCGTCGCATCCTCCTGTTCTGTGCTGGCTGCGGTGCTGCATTCCCCAACCAAACACTGCCTAACCTTTGCTACTGAAGCCTGGAACAGCTCATGTGTTACTCACCAAGAAATGCTGGTGAAGGGCTGCTTTCAGGCCATGGGTGCTGTTACCCTGGCTTACTGCTCGGCACCAGTGCCAGGTGTCCGGGTCCTTCTGATCTTACTGAGATCTGTTCTCTGCCCGTTCTGAGCTGCGTGGGGCGGATTCTGAAAGTGCAGGGGAAGTGGTAGAGCAGCTCACATCTGCCTGTCCTCTCTCTCTTCCGTCCTTTTCCTGTCTCTGTGTTTTTACTTAAGAAGGATACTAAGAGGTGGTGAAATAACCAAGATATTCTTAGAGCAACTTCTCCTTAAGGTGTTTGAATCATGTAAAAAACATTGGAGCAGGATTTGCTTTTCTCTGACCAGCCGTAGGTATGGTCTGCAGGGAGGAGCAGACGGTGTCACTGTATACAGCTGGGCTGTGCTCCCACGATAAATGCAGGTTTCTCTTTCCTCTAGCTCTAGTGCTTAGATTTTGTTGTTTATTTTTTGCTGCTGTTGATCAGAAACTGCCTGTGGTCTCCTTGCTCAGTAAGGCAGCAGTGCTTTGCAGCCCTCTGTCTCAGCTGGAGCTGTCAGTGTGGAGTGGGTCCTCCTATGCTTTGTAGAAAGTGATTCCTCCTCCTCACCTTCACTGCTTTTAGGAAGGCAGAGAATTTTATGGCCTTTGCTTGTGGCAGGGATTTGTGTGGCAGCGGTTTGAACACTTGCATTCTTCCATCTGATGGGTGTTTTACACCTGAAGGCTCTTTGTTTTTCACCTATCTGCCCTGTCAAAGCTGTGTGAGATGAGAGAGCTCTGACAGGAGGATCTTGGTGCTGACAAAGTGCCTTGGCTCAGCCCAAAAGCTATTGGGAAAGCCTGGCTTCCATGTACACCACAGCAGAGCTCAGCTTCTGCACTGTAAATCGAACGTGTTGCTGGGAAGATTTTGAATTATACTGTGGAACGTTGACAGAGGAGAATGAGCATGCAGTTTGGGATAAGGTAATTGTTAGGGATGCAGTTCAAGTCATGAAGTTGACCAGAGAAGTGAATTAGGATGTGAGCTCTCACCTTCAAGTCCACTGAAAAGCACGAGGACTGGCCAGAAAAGCCTTCAGCAGCATTATGCTGATAGCAAAAGAATACCTTGTTTTCCAAGCCCATCGGAAGCAAGAAGCTTGCTGGAGCCAGGAGGGTGGGTAGGTGATAGAAATATTTGATGCTAAAGCCATCAGAAGAAAATGAATGGATTTACAAGCGTCCTTTTTGCTTACAGTGGAGTCCAAAGAGGCTCCTCTGCCAGAACAGCGCTCGCTGGAAGTTCTCTCCCTGCTTGAAGCACTGTCAGCAAAGAGATTCTTTTAGAGAAGAGAGATAAAAATCGTTACAGAGTGCCAGGGCTGGATGGTACGTGCCCAAGGGTTTCCAAAGGAACTTGGGAATCCAGCAGCTGCATTGGTGGCTGTGCTGTGTGACTTCTTGCTTAATGCCACGAAGGCAGAGAAACTGAAGATGGCTTGCATGGCATCAGTTCTTAAAAATAGTTCAGTAGGAGGTCACAGAGTTCAATGCCTTTTTATTAATTTAATGGAAAGAGATTGGTCACTTACAGTGGGTGAAGTCGGTGTGGCTTTTGCAAAGGAAATGTGTGAGTGTACCCGAGTGTTTGAATGCCCTGCAAGCACCCAGAGGGGAGGTGTGGGGATCTGCTCAGTGCAACCAGAGGATC